AGAGAGACCAGAGAGGGACCAGAGAGAGACCAGAGAGAGAGACCAGAGAGAGAGACCAGAGAGAGAGACTAGCGAGAGACCAGCGAGAGAGACCAGAGAGCGACCAGAGAGAGAGACCAGAGAGCGACCAGAGAGAGAGACCAGAGAGAGACCAGAGAGAGACCAGAGAGAGAGACCAGAGAGAGACCAGAGAGAGACCAGAGAGGGACCAGAGAGGGACCAGAGAGAGACCAGAGAGAGAGACCAGAGAGAGACCAGAGAGGGACCAGAGAGAGACCAGAGAGAGAGACCAGAGAGAGACCAGAGAGAGAGACCGAGAGACCAGCGAGAGAGACCAGAGAGCGACCAGAGAGAGAGACCAGAGAGAGACCAGAGAGAGACCAGAGAGAGAGAGAGAGACCAGAGAGAGAGACCAGAGAGAGACCAGAGAGAGAGACCAGAGAGAGACCAGAGAGAGAGACCAGAGAGAGAGACCAGAGAGAGAGACCAGAGAGAGAAACCAGAGAGAGAGACTAGCGAGAGACCAGAGAGAGAGACCAGAGAGAGAGACCAGAGAGAGACCAGAGAGAGAGACCAGAGAGAGAGACCAGAGAGAGACCAGAGTGAGAGACCAGAGAGAGACCAGAGAGAGAGACCAGAGAGAGACCAGAGTGAGACCAGAGAGAGACCAGAGAGAGACCAGAGTGAGACCAGAGAGAGACCAGAGAGAGACCAGAGAGAGACCAGAGAGAGACCAGAGTGAGAGACCAGAGAGACCATAGAGAGAGACCAGAGAGAGACCGGAGAGAGAGACCAGAGAGAGACCAGAGAGAGAGACCATAGAGAGAGACCAGAGAGAGAGAGACCATATAACGTTCCAACCAATAAACTATTCAGGGATGTATATTACGCAGGTCATTGTTGGAAAGCGGACCCCGACGAGCAACAGAATCCATGATCCATAATTCAATCCTCTGCAAATGTTCCTGAAACTACTTCTGCGTTTATCACCATCACTTCTTCTTGCATTAAAACAGTATTTTTGTCATGAAAACGTGAACTGATACTTCTGGAATCCTCCGTGCACGTGTGTGAAGAATGTTTCTGTATAATGTATTCTCTCATTAACATTTAAAGGTGTTTGTGTTGATTGAGCGTGGCTCCGGCTGAACTTCTGTCGGAGGAATCTACAGCTGAATCACAAGCAGAGAGTGCGTTGCCAAAGGGCAGCGGTCATTGTTTTGAGAGTCTGTTATAAAGAAATGTTTTGAAATGACGTTCAGATCAGTGGTTCTCCTGCTGCTGTGAGGAGCTGTGGATTAATAACATTTATATTTTCTCTGTAATCAAGAAAAAACCCAGAAAACACTGATTTCTCAAAGACTTTATCTTAAAAACAGGAACAACATTTAGAACTGAAACACAAAGAATCAGACCCAAGAACAGACATGAAAACATCTGTGAGTGACAGGTGGAAACGTGCCTCTCTCTGAAGCTACTGCAGGTTACTATAGGGAATGATCTGAGAGTTGTTTAGGCCCGTGTCGGCTTTCAGTCATTTAAAGTCACAGCGCAGGGAAGCTTGGACCAGAGAGAGACCGGAGAGAGACCAGAGAGAGACCAGAGAGAGAGACCAGAGAGAGAGACCAGAGAGAGACCAGAGAGACCAGAGAGAGAGACCAGAGAGAGACCAGAGAAAGATCGCAGCGAGACCAGAGAGAGAGACCCTTGAGAGACCAGAGAGGGACCAGAGAGAGACCAGAGAGAGAAACCAGAGAGAGAAACCAGAGAGAGAGACCAGAGAGAGACCAGAGAGAGACCAGAGAAAGAGACCAGAGAGAGAGACCAGAGAGAGAGACCAGAGAGAGGCCAGAGAGAGACCAGAGAGAGACCAGAGAGAGACCAGAGACCAGAGAGAGAGACCAGAGAGAGAGACCAGAGAGAGAGACCAGAGAGAGAGACCAGAGAGAGAGACCAGAGAGAGACCAGAGAGAGACCAGAGGGAGAGACCAGAGAGAGACCGGAGAGAGACCAGAGAGAGACCAGAGAGAGACCAGAGAGAGACCAGAGAGAGACCAGAGAGAGACCAGAGAGAGACCAGAGAGACCAGAGAGAGACCAGAGAGAGACCAGAGAGAGACCAGAGAGAGACCAGAGAGACCAGAGAGAGACCAGAGAGAGACCAGAGAGAGACCAGAGACCTCCTGAATGTGATTGTTATTACTGTATTTCCAGCGTCCGAAAACTTGAATTCTCAGATCTGTTTTTGGCGAATCAACAACTTTGTAAACCCCGAGACGACTGCGATGAGTCTAACAAGAGAAAACGATAGAAACCTGTCACACACACTTCAAAAATCACAAAGTCAAAGTTGAGAGCTCTGCATAGACTTTCTTCTCAAAGTGACATCAGTTTTGTTCTGGTCGAATGGAGCAAGAAACAGAAAGGAAGAGCTTGGGCTGATTTTTACATAATTGAAATGAGAAAAAGGCGCTCCACAGACCAGCGGCTGCTACTGGACACATGATGACCATAAAAAACTTTCATTTCAATATTAGCATAAAACTCTGCTACGTCATGCATTTACGAGGATAATACAGAAACTGGCAAATACACAGACGTCCCATCGTTCAGGAATATACTCTGATATAATCTTGCATACAGCAGTGAGTGACAGAGAAAGATCAAATATTTCCAAAATGGCGTCTCAGCTGCATGTATACAGCGTCAGAGCTAACCCGCTAGCTTTAGCTCCTTTCTCTTTCATTTCAAAGACAGTCTATGATTTGACGACGAAATTAAAAAGGTGGTTTTGTCTTCGTTTCAACGTTTCAAGCCTTGAATTCCATGTAACTTTTCTTCTCTGAATCCAGAGAAATGTTCAAAGTGAGAAAAAGGTGAAAATCCAGTGAATGACTTTACATTATGTACAGTTTGTGACGAGCTACGGTTCAAACATTTGACATTGATTCTTTAGAAAACTGCCTTAAGTGACAACGAAGGGGAATTACACAAGTTTTAGAACATGATGGCGTTAACAATAGTCGTAGATTCTGCTGAAATGAACCCAAATCGAAAGTAAAATACAGGACTTCAATAGGACTTGGAGGCAGTAAAATCGACTTTCAAACGGCTTAAAGTGGCTTTCCCCCAAAGGTTTCAGATATGAGCAGGTAGACGTTAGCATTAGCATTAGCGCGGCAGTCGTAGCCGTGAATAATTACAATGCTAAAAAGTGCTTTTTCTCGCGACAGGTCCAGTGCTTTATACAAAACGCTGAGTGTGACAAGTCCGCCTTAAACTGCAGGTGAACGGTCCAGAGTGAGATTCCGCCTTAAACTGCAGGTGAACGGTCCAGGGTGAGATTCCGCCTTAAACTGCAGGTGAACGGTCCAGAGTGAGATTCCGCCTTAAACTGCAGGTGAACGGTCCAGGGTGAGATTCCGCCTTAAACTGCAGGTGAACGGTCCAGGATGAGATTCCGCCTTAAACTGCAGGTGAACGGTCCAGAGTGAGATTCCGCCTTAAACTGCAGGTGAACGGTCCAGAGTGAGATTCCGCCTTAAACTGCAGGTGAACGGTCCAGAGTGAGATTCCGCCTTAAACTGCAGGTGAACGGTCCAGAGTGAGATTCCGCCTTAAACTGCAGGTGAACGGTCCAGAGTGAGATTCCGCCTTAAACTGCAGGTGAACGGTCCAGAGTGAGATTCCGCCTTAAACTGCAGGTGAACGGTCCAGAGTGAGATTCCGCCTTAAACTGCAGGTGAACGGTCCAGGGTGAGATTCCGCCTTAAAGAGTCAGAACATGCTTTTTCCACAAATCGAGACTGAACCGCTCTGTGTCTAGGGTAGAATCAAAATCAAATGACAGAAAACAGAAAAGTTTGTTCTTGAATCCCCCTGGATCAGACATGGAATCCAGAGAGAGACCGCAGCGAGACCAGAGAGAGACCAGAGAGAGACCAGAGAGAGAGACCAGAGAGAGAGACCAGAGAGAGACCAGAGAGACCAGAGAGACCAGAGAGAGAGACCAGAGAGACCAGAGAGAGACCAGAGAGAGAGACCAGAGAGAGATCGCAGCGAGACCAGAGAGAGAGACCAGAGAGAGAGACCAGAGAGAGAGACCAGAAAGAGAGACCAGAAAGAGATCGCAGCGAGACCAGAGAGAGAGATTGCAGCGAGACCAGAGAGAGAGACCAGAGAGAGAGACCAGAAAGAGATCGCAGCGAGACCAGAGAGAGAGACCGCAGCGAGACCAGAGAGAGAGACCCCTGAGAGACCAGAGAGAGACCAGAGAGAGAGACCAGAGAGAGACCAGAGAGAGACCAGAGAGAGAGACCAGAGAGAGAGACCAGAGAGGGACCAGAGAGAGACCAGAGAGAGACCAGAGAGAGAGACCAGAGAGGGACCAGAGAGAGACCAGAGAGAGAGACCAGAGAGAGACCAGAGAGAGACCAGAGAGAGAGACCAGAGACCTCAGAAATAACTTTGTGATTTATGGCTACTCTATGGTCCCTTCTGCTCACTCCTGGTCACTCCTGGTCCCTCCTGGTCACTCCTGGTCCCTCCTGGTCCCTCCTTCTCACTCCTGCTCACTCCTGCTCACTCCTGCTCACTCCTGGTCACTTCTGGTCACTCCTGGTCACTCCTGGTCCCTCCTGGTCCCTCCTGGTCCCTCCTGGTCCCTCCTGGTCACTCCTGGTCCCTCCTGGTCACTCCTGCTCACTCCTGGTCACTCCTGCTCACTCCTGCTCACTCCTGGTCCCTCCTTCTCACTCCTGGTCCCTCCTTCTCACTCCTGGTCACTCCTGCTCACTCCTGGTCCCTCCTGGTCCCTCCTGGTCCCTCCTGGTCCCTCCTGGTCACTCCTGGTCCCTCCTGGTCCCTCCTGGTCCCTCCTGCTCACTCCTGCTCACTCCTGGTCACTCCTGGTCACTCCTGGTCACTCTTGGTCACTCTTGGTCACTCTTGGTCACTCTTGGTCACTCCTGGTCACTCCTGGTCCCTCCTGGTCACTCCTGGTCACTCCTGGTCCCTCCTGGTCCCTCCTGGTCCCTCCTGTGTGCAGTTGAGGGTCCTGAATCCCGGCAGAGTGACCCGTCCGTCCTGGTAGATGTCTCGGTCTGGTCCCTGGTTCATGCGCTTCACCAGGTTCTTCTCGTAGAGCAGGGGGTGGTAGGCGCCGAGCGTACACGCCGCGTCCACGAACTGCTGATAGTAATGACACAGCTCTGTCTTTCTGCGCGACGGGAGGAACTCATACACGTGCACCTCCTCACACAGGGACATCATCATGACGGTACCTGTGATACACACAGACACAGGGACATCATCATGACTGTACCTGTGATACACACAGACACAGGGACATCATCATGACGGTACCTGTGATACACACAGACACAGGGACATCATCATGACGGTACCTGTGATACACACAGACACAGGGACATCATCATGACGGTACCTGTGATACACACAGCCACAGGGACATCATCATGACGGTACCTGTGATACACACAGACACAGGGACATCATCATGACTGTACCTGTGATACACAGACACAGGGACATCATCATGACGGTACCTGTGATACACACAGACACAGGGACCTCATCATGACGGTACCTGTGATACACAGACACAGGGACATCATCATGACGGTACCTGTGATACACACAGACACAGGGACATCATCATGACGGTACCTGTGATACACAGACACAGACACATCATCATGACGGTACCTGTGATACACACAGACACAGGGACATCATCATGACGGTACCTGTGATACACACAGACACAGGGACATCATCATGACGGTACCTGTGATACACACAGCCACAGGGACATCATCATGACGGTACCTGTGATACACACAGACACAGGGACATCATCATTGACGGTACCTGTGATACACACAGACACAGGGACATCATCATGACGGTACCTGTGATACACACAGCCACAGGGACATCATCATGACGGTACCTGTGATACACACAGACACAGGGACATCATCATGACGGTACCTGTGATACACACAGACACAGGGACATCATCATGACGGTACCTGTGATACACACAGACACAGGGACCTCATCATGACGGTACCTGTGATACACACAGACACAGGGACATCATCATGACGGTACCTGTGATACACTCAGACACAGGGACATCATCATGACGGTACCTGTGATACACACAGACACAGGGACATCATCATGACGGTACCTGTGATACACACAGACACAGGGACCTCATCATGACGGTACCTGTGATACACACAGACACAGGGACATCATCAGGATGGTACCTGTGATACACAGACACAGGGACATCATCATGATGGTACCTGTGATACACACAGACACAGGGACCTCATCATGACGGTACCTGTGATACACACAGACACAGGGACATCATCAGGACGGTACCTGTGATACACAGACACAGGGACATCATCATGATGGTACCTGTGATACACACAGACACATCATCATGACGGTACCTGTGATACACACAGACACAGGGACATCATCATGACGGTACCTGTGATACACACAGCCACAGGGACATCATCATGACGGTACCTGTGATACACACAGACACATCATCATGACGGTACCTGTGATACACACAGACACAGGGACATCATCATGACGGTACCTGTGATACACACAGACACAGGGACCTCATCATGACGGTACCTGTGATACACACAGACACAGGGACATCATCATGACGGTACCTGTGATACACACAGACACAGGGACATCATCAGGATGGTACCTGTGATACACAGACACAGGGACATCATCATGATGGTACCTGTGATACACACAGACACAGGGACCTCATCATGACGGTACCTGTGATACACACAGACACAGGGACATCATCAGGACGGTACCTGTGATACACAGACACAGGACATCATCATGATGGTACCTGTGATACACACAGACACATCATCATGACGGTACCTGTGATACACACAGACACAGGGACATCATCATGACGGTACCTGTGATACACACAGACACAGGGACATCATCATGACGGTACCTGTGATACACACAGACACAGGGACATCATCATGACGGTACCTGTGATACACAGACACAGGGACATCATCATGATGGTACCTGTGATACACACAGACACAGGGACCTCATCATGACGGTACCTGTGATACACACAGACACAGGGACATCATCAGGACGGTACCTGTGATACACAGACACAGGGACATCATCATGACGGTACCTGTGATACACACAGACACAGGGACATCATCATGACGGTACCTGTGATACACACAGACACAGGGACATCATCATGACGGTACCTGTGATACACACAGACACAGGGACATCATCATGACGGTACCTGTGATACACTCAGACACAGGGACATCATCATGACGGTACCTGTGATACACACAGACACAGGGACATCATCATGACGGTACCTGTGATACACACAGACACAGGGACCTCATCATGACGGTACCTGTGATACACACAGACACAGGGACATCATCAGGATGGTACCTGTGATACACAGGGACATCATCATGATGGTACCTGTGATACACACAGACACAGGGACCTCATCATGACGGTACCTGTGATACACACAGACACAGGGACATCATCAGGACGGTACCTGTGATACACAGACACAGGGACATCATCATGATGGTACCTGTGATACACACAGACACATCATCATGACGGTACCTGTGATACACACAGACACAGGGACATCATCATGACGGTACCTGTGATACACACAGACACAGGGACATCATCATGACGGTACCTGTGATACACACAGACACAGGGACATCATCATGACGGTACCTGTGATACACAGACACAGGGACATCATCATGACGGTACCTGTGATACACACAGACACAGGGACATCATCATGACGGTACCTGTGATACACACAGACACAGGGACATCATCATGACGGTACCTGTGATACACAGACACAGGGACATCATCATGACGGTACCTGTGATACACACAGACACAGGGACATCATCATGACGGCTTACGTTGACCTTAGCAGAACCGACCACACTGTGTGTGTGTGTGTGTCCTGTTAGCACAGGGGTTCCCAAAGTTTTTAGCCCGCGACCCCCATCATAAATGCCCTGCTAACCCGCGACCCCCCCCAACAGCCCTTCTTCCGTCACATGAAATGAGCATGTATTTCCTTGATACGGAGTAACGCTTTCTAGAGACTCACGCCACTACCGAGCTGCACTGTCCAGCCCAAAAAAGGAGGCTTGCATATTTTTACTCATGTAGTGACACAGTGATGGGCTTGGTGGGCTCCCTCCTCAGCAGAAGTGGAGCGCATTTCTTGCGGCTCGGCCTCACTGTTGTCCTTCGCAGTAAAGTGGGCCGGCTTTCCGGAGTCAGCGGTAAAGAGGTCCGCACATTAAAAGCGGGCGGCCGCTTTCTGCTGTTACTTTATGCGGTTCATCCCCGCGGCTTCTTATTCCAAAGTTACTGTCAGTAAAGGCATAAACCGGCCACCCGCTTTTAATGTGCGGACCTCTTTACCTTTGACTCCGAAAAGCCGGGCCTCTTTAACGCGCTGTTCTACCGCTGTCCTCCCTCCCTCCGCTGCCCTCTCTCCCTCTCTCCCTCCTCTGCCCTCTCTCCCTCCTCTGCCCTCTCTCCCTCTCTCCCTCCGCTGCCCTCTCTCCCTCCGCTGCCCTCTCTCCCTCTCTCCCTCCTCTGCCCTCTCTCCCTCCTCTGCCCTCTCTCCCTCCGCTGCCCTCTCTCCCTCCGCTGCCCTCTCTCCCTCCGCTGCCCTCTCTCCCTCCTCTGCCCTCTCTCCTCTCTCCCCTCCTCTTGCCCTCTCTCCCTCTCTCCCTCCCCTCCCTGCCCTCTCTCCCTCCTCTGCCCTCTCTCCCTCCTCTGCCCTCTCTCCCTCCGCTGCCCTCTCTCCCTCTCTCTCCCTCCGCTGCCCTCTCTCCCTCCTCTGCCCTCTCTCCCTCCTCTGCCCTCTCTCCCTCCTCTGCCCTCCCTCCCTTCCTCCCTCCCCTCCGCTGCCCTCTCTCCCTCCTCTGCCCTCTCTCCCTCCTCTGCCCTCTCTCCCTCCTCTCCCTCCTCTGCCCTCTCTCCCTCTCTCCCTCCTCTGCCCTCTCTCCCTCCTCTGCCCTCTCTCCCTCCTCTGCCCTCTCTCCCTCCGCTGCCCTCTCCTCCCTGCCTCTGCCCTCTCTCCCTCCTCTGCCCTCTCTCCCTCCTCTGCCCTCTCTCCCTCCTCTGCCCTCTCTCCCTCCTCTCCCTCCTCTGCCCTCTCTCCCTCCTCTGCCCTCTCTCCCTCTCCCCCTCCCCCTCCCTCTCTCCCTCCTCTGCCCTCCCTCCCTCCGCTGCCCTCTCTCCCTCCGCTGCCCTCTCTCCCTCCTCTGCCCTCTCTCCCTCCGCTGCCCTCTCTCCCTCCTCTGCCCTCTCTCCCTCCTCTGCCCTCTCTCCCTCCTCTGCCCTCTCTCCCTCTCTCCTCGCTGCCCTCTCTCCCTCCTCTGCCCTCTCTCCCTCCTCTGCCCTCTCTCCCTCCTCTGCCCTCTCTCCCTCCGCTGTCCTCCCTCCCTCCGCTGTCCTCCCTCCCTCCGCTGCCCTCCCTCCCTCCGCTGCCCTCTCTCCCTCCGCTGCCTCCTCCCTCCTCTGCCCTCTCTCCCTCCTCTGCCCTCTCTCCCTCCTCTGCCCTCTCTCCCTCTCTCCCTCCTCTGCCCTCTCTCCCTCCTCTGCCCTCTCTCCCTCCTCTGCCCTCCCTCCCTCCCTGCCCTCTCCCCCTCCTCTGCCCTCTCTCCCTCCTCTGCCCTCTCTCCCTCCTCTGCCCTCTCTCCCTCCTCTGCCCTCTCTCCCTCCTCTGCCCTCTCTCCCTCCTCTGCCCTCCTCTCCCTCCTCTGCCCTCCTCCTCTGCCCTCTCTCCCTCCTCTGCCCTCCTCTCCTCCCTCTCTCCCTCCTCTGCCCTCTCTCCCTCCGCTGCCCTCTCTCCCTCCGCTGCCCTCTCTCCCTCCTCTGCCCTCTCTCCCTCCTCTGCCCTCTCTCCCTCCTCTGCCCTCTCTCCCTCCGCTGCCCTCTCTCCCTCCTCTGCCCTCTCTCCCTCCTCTGCCCTCTCTCCCTCCCTGCCCTCTCTCCCTCCTCTGCCCTCTCTCCCTCCTCTGCCCTCTCTCCCTCCTCTGCCCTCTCTCCCTCCTCTGCCCTCTCTCTCCCTCCTCTGCCCTCTCTCCCTCCACTGCCCTCTCTCCCTCCTCTGCCCTCTCTCCCTCCTCTGCCCTCTCTCCCTCCTCTGCCCTCTCTCCCTCCTCTGCCCTCTCTCCCTCCGCTGCCCTCTCTCCCTCCGCTGCCCTCTCTCCCTCCTCTGCCCTCTCTCCCTCCGCTGCCCTCTCTCCCTCCTCTGCCCTCACTCCCTCCTCTGCCCTCTCTCCCTCCTCTGCCCTCTCTCCCTCCTCTGCCCTCTCTCCCTCCTCTGCCCTCTCTCCCTCCTCTGCCCTCTCTCCCTCCTCTGCCCTCTCTCCCTCCTCTGCCCTCTCTCCCTCCGCTGCCCTCTCTCCCTCCTCTGCCCTCTCTCCCTCCTCTGCCCTCTCTCCCTCCTCTGCCCTCTCTCCCTCCTCTGCCCTCTCTCTCCCTCCTCTGCCCTCTCTCCCTCCTCTGCCCTCTCTCCCTCCTCTGCCCTCTCTCCCTCCTCTGCCCTCTCTCCCTCCTCTGCCCTCTCTCCCTCCTCTGCCCTCTCTCCCTCCTCTGCCCTCTCTCCCTCCTCTGCCCTCTCTCCCTCCTCTGCCCTCTCTCCCTCCTCTGCCCTCTCTCCCTCTCTCCCTCCTTTGCCCTCCCTCCCTCTCTTCGCACCATCAGCCCCTGATACAAGTGACTTTTCTCCCCCTCCGGGTTTTTCTGTTGTGGATATTAACCACGTTTCATTTTAAAGCAGGTATTATTTATTTGTAGCCTCCAAACACCTTTAGTTTTAGCAAACAACAGCAGGACACGCTTTGTCGCTGCGCATGATGTGAGCTGTGTTACGTGATGATTTTGATTGACGCTGCAATGACTGGGACAAAATTACTAACGTTATTAAAATATATTATAGTCTCCAAACACAATTTAACAAGTAGTCCTTTTGAATCAAATCAAATGCTAAATAAATATTTAAGGGCTTTATATTTGCTCAAAAAAAATAATCATTTTTTTTTTGTGTGTGTGGAAATCATCTTGCGACCCCCCCAGGGGTTCCCGCGACCCCCCGGGGGGTCGGGACCCCCACTTTGGGAACCACTGTGTTACGTGATGATTTTGATTGACGCTGCAATGAGTGGGACAAAATTACTAACGTTATTAAAATATATTTTTTAAATATATTATAAAATATATATAATAATATATATAAATGCTAAATAAATATTTAAGGGCTTTATATTTGCTCAAAAAAAAATCTTTTTTTTTGAGCAAAAAAAATCTTTTTTTGTGTGGAAATCATCTTGCAACCCCCCCCAGGGGTTCCCGCGACCCCCCGGGGGGTCGGGACCCCCACTTTGGGAACCACTGTGTTAGCACAACCGACCACACTGTGTGTGTGTGTGTGTGTGTGTGTGTGTGTCCTGTTAGCACAACCGACCACACTGTGTGTGTGTGTGTGTCCTGTTAGCACAACCGACCACACTGTGTGTGTGTGTGTGTGTGTGTGTCCTGTTAGTACAACCAACCACACTGTGTGTGTGTGTGTGTGTCACACAGTGCACCTTCTCTCACACACGGGCCAATCACATCTGTGTGTGTTCAGTGTGTGCTCTCTCACCCTGCATCCCGGAGGAGGGGGGGTTTCTCTGGATGGCCTCCTTCATGTTGTGTGTATCTGTGTGTGTTCAGTGTGTGCTCTCTCACCCTGCATCCCGGAGGAGGGGGGGTTTCTCTGGATGGCCTCCTTCATGTTGTGTGTATCTGTGTGTGTTCAGTGTGTGCTCTCTCACCCTGCATCCCGGAGGAGGGGGGGTTTCTCTGGATGGCCTCCTTCATGTTGTGTGTATCTGTGTGTGTTCAGTGTGTGCTCTCTCACCCTGCATCCCGGAGGAGGGGGGGTTTCTCTGGATGGCCTCCTTCATGTTGTCCTGGATCCTCCTCCACAGCTGCCACTCGAACTGAGGGTTGAGGATGTAGAACGGCTGCAGAGGGTGGAGCCGTCTGTACCTCAGGAACTGGGAGAAGATCGGGTAGTCTGTCCGGTTCAACCACTGAGGACCAGAGTGAGGACCAGTGAGGACCAGTGAGGCAGAGGGAGGACCAGTGAGGACCAGTGAGGCAGAGGGAGGACCAGTGAGGACCAGACACTAAGTTATGTTTTTATGTAGAAGGTGGAATCTGCAGCGAGACCAAGTGTCTCTGACACTGTTGTTTTGTGTTTTGTTATTTTTCTTTTTTCTGCCAGAGCAGAGAGGATTCATGGTTTTACACTGGTCCAGACCAGAGCAGAGAGGATTCATGGTTTTACACTGGTCCAGACCAGAGCAGAGAGGATTCATGGTTTTACACTGGTCCAGACCAGAGCAGAGAGGATTCATGGTTTTACACTGGTCCAGACCAGAGCTGAGAGGATTCCTGGTTTTACACTGGTCCAGACCAGAGCAGAGAGGATTCATGGTTTTACACTGGTCCAGACCAGAGCAGAGAGGATTCATGGTTTACACTGGTCCAGACCAGAGCAGAGAGGATTCATGGTTTTACACTGGTCCAGACCAGAGCAGAGAGGTTTCATGGTTTTACACTGGTCCAGATCAGAGCAGAGAGGATTCCTGCTGCTGTGACCTGAAGGACTGTTGTTATTATTACTATTGTAGCTTTTTTAGAATCCATCCATTTTCTTCCCATTAATCCATTTCTGGGTCAGGGGGTGGCAGTCAGAGCACCAGCTCCTCACTGATCCTCCTGCAGGAGCTGAGATCTTTCAGCGGGGGCTTAAGGCAAAGTGGGGTTAAGTGTCTTGCCCAAGGACACAACGGCAGTAGTCGTCAGTGGGAGTCGTCTTGTGGTGGGCTTGAGCCCACAACCTTCAGGCCTTAAGGCCAATGCTCTAACTATCTAGTATATTACCTCTCTTTTTGTGTTTTAATCTTTTGATTCTCTGATCTGTGTTGGCGATTTCAACGGGTTTGTAAAGTACAATACAATAGAATGTATTGTTGTATAGCCCTAGGTCACAACAGAAGTCATCTCAGAGACTTAACAAAACCATTGAAATCACCAACACAGGTCAGAGAATCAACAGTTAAAACACATGAAGAATATAAAGCACACACAGAAGAAAATGTCCATACATGTTGTAGAATGCTAAAGTGTCCTGATTAGGGATGTAAAAAACTATGAATTTTCATGACCGACCACCGAGCCTCATTATCCTCATTAGCCTCATTCATATTTTTAAAGCCAGGCTCAAGACACACCTTTTTAGATTAGCTTTTGATTAGTATTTATTAGTCCATTTTTATATATTCTATTTATCCTTTATTATTTATTATATTGCTATTGCTTTTATTCATGTTTTGTGTGATAGTTCCTCTCAGGCTCACATTTTAGTGTTTTACTTATTGTAATTGTTTTTAAGTATCCCCAGTGTTTCCTCTGGAGGAGCCTTCTGCGCTATGGAGCGGTGGTTTGGCTGTGGCTGTGGGGGTCGGACTCTTGGACCTGGTGGGGGCCCGGGGCCTCGGTTTTGGGGTCTCCTCTGGGTCCTGTGTCGTCCCTTTGGCTATGGGCGGCTCTCTGCTCCTGGCGCTGACGGCTCCTTGGATGGCGTTTCTTCAGCCGGTTTGCATCTGAACCCTGCCAAGTCTCTTATCGTTCGTTTTATTGTTTTATCGGTGCGTGTGTGTGTTATGCGCGTGTGTGTGTGTGGGGGGGGGTGGGGGGGGGGGGGGGAGGGGGGGGGGGGGGGGGGGGGGTGTTTGCTTGTGGTCTGGGGAGGGACCCTGTTGGGCGGGTCGGGGGGAGGCATGGGCAGGTATTGTTTTTTAGCCAAACTGTAAAGCACTTTGTGTTGCATCTGTTGTATGAAAAAGCGCTTTATAAATAAACTTTGATTGATTGATTGATTGATTAACCGGTTGAAACCGGTTAACCGCGTAGTTTAAAATAGTCCACGTTCTTTGAAATAACAGCCATTTCGAGCCGCGTACTTTTCATAAGTGCAGCTCTGCGTTCTACTGGATCAGAGTTGAGACAGCGGCGCCCAAACCCGCAACAGCTCCGGCACCTTTGCGCACAGAGAACTGCTGTTTTAATCTTCCCATTCTGCTGTGCTGCGGGTTAATACCAAAACTTTCTAGCAGCAAACGACGGCTCGTTCACATGGTCAGAGCAGCGAGTGACGCGTCTCACAGGTCTTCACAAAAGTTTAAATACAAGTGATGTGTGTGGAGCTGATCCCGAGGACCATAAACACAAACATGTTCCATGTGGTTTGACTGGAGCCGCGTATTTGCGCAAATCCTTTGGGCTCCGTGGACACAGAGGAGCGCGACAGACCGGTGTGTGTGTGTGTGGTGTGTAGTGTATGTGTGTGTATGTATGTGTGTGTGTATGTGTGTATGTAAAGTGTAAGCTCCAATGTAGTTCTGACCCGCGCCAGTGTGCAACTTTGACGGTAACAGAGGGGAGAGATGATGCGTGTGGATGTTACATATGGAGAGGGGGAAAGTGTGTGTGTGTGTGTGTGTGTGTGCGCGCGTGCGTGTGTGCATATGTGGCTCGTGCGGCGTGAGAGTCGTCCCGGAGTTTATAATACATGGGCGCACACAGCTAGATACAGACCCGCTCGTCACACCGTGCAAATAGGGCTTAAAATAGCGTTATTAAGAGACCTCCCCTCTCCCCTTTTTCTCCTTTTTAACCGACAGCTTTGACCGGTTAACGCTGTGACGGTCAACCACCGGTTAACCGGTCGCCGATTTACATCCCTAGTCCTGATCATCACCAATCCTTTCTGTTGGACACTAACTGTCCAACAAGACCCTCCTGCATCCACAAGGAACAACTCTTAAAAAACCCAGTGGGAAAAAGTGAGAAACCTTGGGGAGAACTAGGGAAACCCACAGGGAGGGAGACCCATTTGAGGAAACTTTATTTTTTTGCCCATACAAGTAGTAGTAGTATTTGCAGTACTAGTATCAGCAGTAGTATTTGCAGTACTAGGATCAGCAGTAGTAGTATTTGCAGTACTAGTATCAGAAGTAGTAGTTTTTGCAGTACTAGTATCAGTAGTAGTAGTATTTGCAGTACTAGTATCAGCAGCAGTATTTGCAGTACTAGTATCAGCAGTAGTATTTGCAGTACTAGTATCAGCAGCAGTATTTGCAGTACTAGTATCAGCAGCAGTATTTGCAGTACTAGTATCAGCATCAGTATTTGTAGTACTAGTATCAGCAGCAGTATTTGCAGTACTAGTATCAGCAGCAGTATTTGCAGTACTAGTATCAGCAGCAGTATTTTCAGTACTAGTATCAGCAGTAGTATTTGCAGTACTAGTATCAGCTGTAGTATTTGCAGTACTAGTATCAGCAGTAGTAGTATTTGCAGTACTAGTATCAGCAGCAGTATTTGCAGTACTAGTATCAGCAGCAGTATTTGCAGTACTAGTATCAGCAGCAGTATTTGCAGTACTAGTATCAGCAGCAGTATTTTCAGTACTAGTATCAGCAGCAGTATTTTCAGTACTAGTATCAGCAGCAGTATTTTCAGTACTAGTATCAGCAGTAGTATTTGCAGTACTAGTATCAGCTGTAGTATTTGCAGTACTAGTATCAGCAGTAGTAGTATTTGTAGTACTAGTATCAGCAGCAGTATTTGCAGTACTAGTATCAGCAGCAGTATTTGCAGTACTAGTATCAGCAGTAGTTCATACCTGGTACAGATTTGCAGAGAATGGAGCCGGGTCCCAGGCCACGAGGATCCCAGAGCTGTACAGAGACGAGGACAGGAAGCGGTGCTCCTCTGTCGCCATCAGCTGGAAACACAGGGAACTACAGGTCACACTGACATTCATCTCACTCATTCATGTTCTCCACCACCGGGGGCGCCCTTGCTCCTCTGTCGCCACTGGAAACACATGAAATAACGGTCAGCACTAGATCATAAACGGAATCGGGACGGAAGTGTAATTAAATATAACAAACTACCCATTTTTGCCTAAACTTAACCAGCCATTCCAATAAAATAACCCCAACCCAGCCTTAACCCTAACCTTAACCATCTTACTCAGACCACCTTAACCCTAACCTTAACCATCTTACTCAGACCACCTTAACCCTAACCTTAACCATCTTACTCAGACCCACTTAACCCTAACCTTAACCATCTTACTACAGACCACCTTAACCCTAACCTTATCCATCTTACTCAGACCACCTTAACCCTAACCTTAACCATCTTACTCAGACCACCTTAACCCTAACCTTAACCATCTTACTCAGACCACCTTAACCCTAACCTTAACCATCTTACTCAGACCACCTTACCCTAACCTTAACCATCTTACTCAGACCACCTTAACCCTAACCTCAACCATCTTACTCAGACCACCTTAACCCTAACCATCTTACTCAGGACCACCTTAACCCTAACCTTAACCATCTGACTCAGACCACCTTAACCCTAACCTTAACCATCTTACTCAGACCACCTTAACCCTAACCTTAACCATCTTACTCAGACCACCTTAACCCTAACCTTAACCATCTTACTCAGACCCACCTTAACCCTAACCTTAACCATCTTACTCAGACCACCTTAACCCTAACCTTAACCATCTTACTCAGACCACCTTAACCCTAACCTTAACCATCTTACTCAGACCACCTTAACCCTAACCTTAACCATCTTACTCAGACCACCTTAACCCTAACCTTAACCATCTTACTCAGACCACCTTAAACCCTAACCTTAACCATCTACTCAGACCACCTTAACCCTAACCTTAACCATCTTACTCAGACCACCTTAACCCTAACCTTAACCATCTTACTCAGACCACCTTAATCCTAACCTTAACCATCTGACTCAGACCACCTTAACCCTAACCTTAACCATCTTACTCAGACCACCTTAACCCTAACCTTAACCATCTTACTCAGACCACCTTAACCCTAACCTTAACCATCTTACACAGACCACCTTAACCCTAACCTTAACCATCTTACTCAGACCACCTTAACCCTAACCTTAACCATCTTACTCAGACCACCTTAACCCTAACCTTAACCATCTTACTCAGACCACCTTAACCCTAACCTTAACCATCTTACTCAGACCACCTTAACCCTAACCTTAACCATCTTACTCAGACCACCTTAACCCTAACCTTAACCATCTTACTCAGACCACCTTAACCCTAACCTTAACCATCTTACTCAGACCACCTTAACCCTAACCTTAACCATCTTACTCAGACCACCTTAACCCTAACCTTAACCATCTTACTCAGACCACCTTAACCCTAACCTTAACCATCTTACTCAGACCACCTTAACCCTAACCTTAACCATCTTAATCAGACCACCTTAACCCTAACCTTAACCATCTTACTCAGACCACCTTAACCCTAACCATAACCATCTTACTCAGACCACCTTAACCCTAACCTTAACCATCTTACTCAGACCACCTTAACCTTAACCCTCTTACTCAGACGCCTAAAACTTAACCACTTAAGGACTTTTTAGTCTAAAACTAATTCAAAAGTAGGATTGTTACTTCCGGTTTCGTCCTAATTCCGTTTATGATCTAGTGCTGACCATGAAACAACAGGTCACAGCTGATGTTACCGAGTCATTCATGTTCTCCACCACCGGGGGGCGCCCTTGTTCCTCTGACCACCACAGCAGCCACTCTATTTTCTGAATCGGATTTAAAAAGTGAATGTCAAACTTCATCTTAGGTCTGAGTGGAGCCTTTGATTTGATCGAGTTGACAGTGACACAGCAAAAAGGGGCAGAGAGCAGAGTGACACGGCCCCCACTTTGAGAACCAAATACATGATCTTGAAATCAAATCTAAAAACACAAACCACCTCCTCTAGTCTCCTACACTGCAGTTTTGAAGTTTATATGTACCAATGATATACAGTGGAGCACAGGGACTGAAGAGCACAGGGACTGGCCCCCTGCTGGGAGGACTGTGCCATACAAATAACCTGGCCTGTGAACCTCCGGTACATTCACCTGTGAGTTTATGAGGCGCAGAGTGGTCTTCGAACCGACATCGTTCTCGAATCCTGCGGTTGGAGCAGCGTTGAAGCGCAGCACGGCATCATGGGAGTCTGCGACATCACAAACAAGATCAAGGGTCAGGGTCTGGGTCTGGATCAGGGTCTGGATCAGTGTCAGTGTCTGGTCCGAGTCAGGGTCTGAGTCTGGGTCTGAGTCTGGGTCCGGGTCCCTCACTGATCTCTTTGCCGAAGCGGGAGTTCTTTGTGGACCCGGCAGAGGAGACCACGGTTCTGGGTCTGGGTCCGAGTCAGGGTCAGTGTCTGGGTCCAGGTCTGGGTCCGGGTCTGAGTCTCTCACCGATCTCTTTGCCGAGGCGGGAGTTCTTCATGGACCCGGCGGAGGAGACCACGGCGCAGGTTCTGTAGGGTCCAATCTCGTCCGTGATGCTCCGCGACGGCAGCTGCTGAGCCCAGGGCAGGTCTGAGAACGGCTGCAAGTCCTGGGTCAGAGTGGACACCTGCACCTGCTGCTTCAGCTGAGGGACCAGAGGGAGACCAGAGGGAGACCAGAAAGAGACCAGAGGGAGAGGGGTTAGAGACCAGAGAGACCAGAGAGAGATCAGTGGGAGACCAGAAAGATCAGAGAGAGACCAGAGGGAGATCAGTGGGAGACCAGAGGGAGACCAGAGGGAGACCAGAGAGACCAGAGAGACCAGAGAGAGACCAGAGAGAGACCAGAGCGAGACCAGAGAGACCAGAGAGACCAGAGAGAGAGACCAGAGAGAGAGACCAGAGAGAGACCAGAGAGAGAGACCAGAGAGAGAGACCAGAGAGAGAGACCAGAGGGAGACCAGAGAGAGAGGGGTTAGAGACCAGAGCAAGACCAGAGAAACCAGAGAGACCAGAGGAAGACCAGAGAGAGAGACCAGAGGGACACCAGAGGGAGACCAGAGGGACACCAGAGGGAGAGATCAGAGAGAGACCAGAGGAAGATCAGAAGGGGACAAGAGAGAGAGTTTAAAAGAGTAAAATGTTCGTGTGAAGTTTGTTAAAGTACTGGTTTAACGGTCAGCACTAGATCATAAACGGAATCGGGACGGAAGCGGAAGTAAATATAACAAAATACCTATTCATGCCTAAACTTAACCAGCCATTCCCATAAAATAACCCCAACCCACCTTAACCCTAACCTTAACCATCTGACTCAGACCACCTTAACCCTAACCTTAACCATCTTACTCAGACCACCTTAACCCTAACCTTAACCATCTTACTCAGACCACCTTAACCCTAACCTTAACCATCTTACTCAGACCACCTTAATCCTAACCTTAACCATCTTACTCAGACCACCTTAACCCTAACCTTAACCATCTTACTCAGACCACCTTAACCCTAACCTTAACCATCTTACTCAGTCCACCTTAACCCTAACCTTAACCATCTTACTCAGACCACCTTAACCCTAACCTTAACCATCTTACTCAGACCACCTTAACCCTAACCTTCACCATCTTACTCAGACCACCTTAACCCTAACCTTAACCATCTTACTCAGACCACCTTAACCCTAACCTTAACCATCTTACTCAGGCCACCTTAACCCTAACCTTAACCATCTTACTCAGACCACCTTAACCCTAACCTTAACCATCTTACTCAGACCACCTTAACCCTAACCTTAACCATCTTACTCAGACCACCTTAACCCTCACCTTAACCATCTTACTCAGACCACCTTAACCCTAACCTTAACCATCTTACTCAGACCACCTTAACCCTAACCTTAACCATCTGACTCAGACCACCTTAATCCTAACCTTAACCATCTTACTCAGACCACCTTAACCCTAACCTTAACCATCTTACTCAGACCACCTTAACCCTAACCTTAACCTTAACCATCTTACTCAGACCCACCTTAACCTTAACCATCTTACTCAGACCACCTTAACCCTAACCTTAACCATCTGACTCAGACCACCTTAATCCTAACCTTAACCATCTTACTCAGACCACCTTAACCCTAACCTTAACCATCTTACTCAGACCACCTTAACCCTAACCTTAACCATCTTAACCCTAACCTTAACCATCTGACTCAGACCACCTTAACCCTAACCTTAACCATCTTACTCAGACCACCTTAACCCTAACCTTAACCATCTTACTCAGACCACCTTAACCCTAACCTTAACCATCTTACTCAGACCACCTTAACCCTGACCTTAACCATCTTACTCAGACCACCTTAACCCTAACCTTAACCATCTTACTCAGACCACCTTAACCCTAACCTTAACCATCTTACTCAGACCACCTTAACCCTAACCTTAACCATCTTACTCAGACCACCTTAACCCTAACCTTACCCATCTTACTCAGACCACCTTAACCCTAACCTTAACCATCTTACTCAGACCACCTTAACCCTAACCTTAACCATCTTACTCATACCACCTTAACCCTAACCTTAACCATCTTACTCAGACCACCTTAACCCTAACCTTAACCATCTTACTCAGACCACCTTAACCCTAACCTTAACCATCTTACTCAGACCACCTTAACCCTAACCTTAACCATCTTACTCAGACCACCTTAACCCTAACCTTACCCATCTTACTCAGACCACCTTAACCCTAACCTTAACCATCTTACTCAGACCACCTTAACCCTAACCTTAACCATCTTACTCAGACCACCTTAACCCTAACCTTAACCATCTTACTCAGACCACCTTAACCCTAACCCTAACCATCTTACTCAGACCACCTTAACCCTAACCTTAACCATCTTACTCAGACCACCTTAACCCTAACCTTAACCATCTTACTCAGACCACCTTAACCCTAACCTTAACCATCTTACTCAGACCACCTTAACTCTAACCTTAACCATCTTACTCAGACCACCTTAACCCTAACCTTAACCATCTTACTCAGACCACCTTAACCCTAACCTTAACCATCTTACTCAGACCACCTTAACCCTAACCTTAACCATCTTACTCAGACCACCTTAACCCTAACCTTAACCATCTTACTCAGACCACCTTAACCCTAACCTTAACCATCTTACTCAGACCACCTTAACCCTAACCTTAACCATCTTACTCAGACCACCTTAACCCTAACCTTAACCATCTTACACAGACCACCTTAACCCTAACCTTAACCATCTTACTCAGACCACCTTAACCCTAACCTTAACCATCTTAATCAGACGCCTAAAACTTAACCAGTCTCCACTTAAGGACTTTTTAGTCTAAAACTAATTCGAAAGTAGGATTGTTACTTCCGGTTTCGTCCTGATTCCGTATATGATCTAGTGCCGACCCTGGTTTAACTGCTGTCAGGGTTGCCAGTTTGGGTGGTTTCCTGCATACTTTAGTTCCAAGCGACTTGTAGGTAATAAATAGACTTAAAGACAATACACAGAGTCAGCCAAAGTTTGGCCGAAAAAACATTCTTGGTGTTTTTTTTTGGGGGCATTTTCACAGGTTTTGGGCTGGAAAAGACTGCATCTGGCAACCCGGCTATGAGTGGTTTATCCAATCACATACAAGGATTTTTTTTACAAGACCCCGCCTTCTGAAATACATCTCCTATTGAGAAATCCCAGACCCTGGTGTGAAGCTCAGAGAACTACAAGAGTATAGTTATTGTTCATTATGATATATTATTATTATTGATATAATGTTCTTACTTGACAGAGCAGCTGAGGTCCTGTCAGCTTCACACCAGAGGGGGCGCTCTCCAGACTCACTTCCACATCGTATTTGTTCATGGCCTGAAGAGAAGAAGAGGATTTTAATGATCATATCTCAGCTTTGTTCATTCAGTACTCCCCATTAACAGTCACATACCTCCCCTTTAACTCCAGCTCGAGCTGCAGTCACAGACCTCCCCTTTAACTCCAGCTCGAGCTGCAGTCACAGACCTCCCCTTTAACTCCAGCTCGAGCCGCAGTCACAGACCTCCCCTTTAACTCCAGCTGGAGCCGCAGTCACAGACCTCCCCTTTAACTCCAGCTGGAGCCGCAGTCACAGACCTCCCCTTTAACTCCAGCTCGAGCTGCAGTCACAGACCTCCCCTTTAACTCCAGCTCGAGCTGCAGTCACAGACCTCCCTTTTAACTCCAGCTCGAGCCGCAGTCACAGACCTCCCCTTTAACTCCAGCTGGAGCCGCAGTCACAGACCTCTCCTTTAACTCCAGCTGGAGCCGCAGTCACAGACCTCCCCTTTAACTCCAGCTCGAGCTGCAGTCACAGACCTCCCCTTTAACTCCAGCTGGAGCTGCAGTCACAGACCTCCCCTTTAACTCCAGCTCGAGCTGCAGTTACAGACCTCCCCTTTAACTCCAGCTGGAGCCGCAGTCACAGACCTCCCCTTTAAAGCCTGGTTCACACGAGACGATTTTAAAATTGTCGGCCGATTTTTCTCCGTGTTAGACCCCACACGGGGAGATTAAAAATCCTGCGTCTAACCACTTTGGTCGTGCAGTGTGTGGTGCGTAGCCACACGGCAAGATCACGCAAGCCACAAACATCACACACAAACCGACACCCCCCCTCCGAGCATTCCCAGGTCAGACGGAAATCTCACAAAATCTCTCGAGATCAAGCGTGACTTCAGAGTAAACAGTCATGGCGGACGAAGAGGATGCAGTGGCGATAGTGTGCAGTTTGTTGTTAACAGAGAAGACACGTAATCCAAAGAAAAGGCAATGGTCAAAGCCATGCTGCTGTGTTTTGGTTTTTTTCCGGTGTTTCCTCACCGGCTTGTCACCTCGTCTTCTTATTGGCTACACGCCGTAGTCATGGCAACGCGCTCGCTTGTCCTCGGAGGACACCACACACAAAGAGAAATCGGGCCAAAACAATCCAACATGTTGGATATCCACGATTTGGGATCGGGAGCAGTCCCGATGTCCTTCCGAGCGACGAGTGCAGTCTTAACACACCACACACGGCAGGATAATCTCTAAGACTTTGTTACGGAAATCGGAGCGTTTCTTAAGATTGTCGTAAGGGGTAAATCGGGTCTAAATCGGCCTAAATATCCTGCCGTGTGAACCAGGCTTAAGACATTACCTGAAAGTTCTGCACCACCTTCTTGAGGCGGCTGGAGAGCATGGTGCTGGACATGTCCTCGTCCCAGACCTGTCCCAGCAGAGCGTGGGGACCGTAGAACTCGTCTCCGTTCCTCCCGCTGAGCTCACCGCGGCGCCGACCTCCGAACAGCGTCTCCAGGGCGCGGGTCAGAGGTCGCGGCAGGAGGCGTGTGAACAGACCCTCTGTGTGTCTGTGTGCGTCTGCTTTGTGTGTCTCTGTGTGGTTCAGGCCGGACAGCACCGGGATTGGTCGGTTTGGGTCGCCGGGGACGACGCCCGGAAGCTTCTGAGGGTCCACCATCAGGGGCTTGGATCCACGCAGAACCTGAAGATAACAAGGAGAGGGACCAGGTGACAGACCAGGAGAGGGACCAGGAGAGGGACCAGGAGAGGGACCACATTGGAGTACATGTGCAAGAGTCCCCAGTCACTGTGGAATCGAAGAAAAATTCTGGTCTCTCTCCCCGCTCTCTCCCTCTGGTCCCTCTCTCTGGTCCCTCTCTCTGGTCTCTCTCTCTCTCTCTGGTCCCTCTCTCTGGCCTCCCTCTGGTCTCTCTCCCTCTGGTCTCTCTCCCTCTCTCTGGTCTCTCTCTCTCTCTGGCCTCCCTCTGGTCTCTCTCTCTCTGGTCTCTCTCTCTCTGGTCCCTCTCTCTGGTCCCTCTCTCTGGTCCCTCTCTCTGGTCCCTCTCTCTGGTCCCTCTCTCCCTCTGGTCTCTCTCCCTCTGGTCTCTCTCCCTCTGGTCTCTCTCCCTCTGGTCTCTCTCCCTCTGGTCTCTCTCCCTCTGGTCTCTCTCCCTCTGGTCTCTCTCCCTCTGGTCTCTCTCCCTCTGGTCTCTCTCCCTCTGGTCTCTCTCCCTCTGGTCTCTCTCTCTCTCTCTCTCTGGTCTCTCTCTCTCTCTGGCCTCCCTCTGGTCTCTCTCCCTCTGGTCTCTCTGGTCCCTCTCTCTGGTCTCTCTCTGGTCCCTCTCTCTGGTCTCTCTCTGGTCTCTCTCTGGTCCCTCTCTCTGGTCTCTCTCTGGTCCCTCTCTGGTCTCTCTCTCTGGTCTCTCTCTCTGGTCTCTCTCTCTGGTCTCTCTCTCTGGTCTCTCTCTGGTCCCTCTCTCTGGTCTCTCTCTGGTCCCTCTCTGGTCTCTCTCTCTGGTCTCTCTCTCTGGTCTCTCTCTCTGGTCTCTCTCTGGTCTCTCTCTCTGGTCTCTCTCTGGTCTCTCTCTGGTCCCTCTCTCTGGTCTCTCTCTGGTCCCTCTCTCTGGTCTCTCTCTGGTCTCTCTCTCTGGTCTCTCTCTCAGGTCTCTCTCTCAGGTCTCTCTCTTGCTGTTACCTTGGAGACGTGGGTGCGCGGCTGGGCCCTGGTCCTGGCCTTCACTCCAAAGATGGCGTCTGTGACCGGGACGCTGTTCTCGGCGCACAGAGCGTAGAGCAGCGCCATCGAGACGCAGAAGAAGCCCATACACAGCACTCCTCTGCGGGCGCGGCGCCGCATCCTCCACAGGGGACTCATGCGGTCCATGGCGGCGCCCGAGATCTGAGACACAGGGACAATCATGATGTGGTCTACAGCCTCAGTCCTGGGTCTACAGCCTCAGTCCTGGGTCCACAGCCTCAGTCCTGGGTCCACAGCCTCAGTCCTGGGTCTACAGCCTCAGTCCTGGGTCCACAGCCTCAGTCCTGGGTCTACAGCCTCAGTCCTGGGTCTACAGCCTCAGTCCTGGGTCCACAGCCTCAGTCCTGGGTCTACAGCCTCAGTCCTGGGTCTACAGCCTCAGTCCTGGGTCCACAGCCTCAGTCCTGGGTCTACAGCCTCAGTCCTGGGTCCACAGCCTCAGTCCTGGGTCCACAGCCTCAGTCCTGGGTCTACAGCCTCAGTCCTGGGTCTACAGTCCTGGGTCTACAGCCTCAGTCCTGGGTCCACAGCCTCAGTCCTGGGTCCACAGCCTCAGTCCTCGGTCTCAGTCTCTGCTGGTAACGTGACTGTAGACAAGTCGAATCCCGGTCGGACCAGGGTCTTTCTGAGTGGAGTTTGCATGTTCTCCCTGTGTCTGCGTAGGTTTCCTCCGGGTACTCCGGTTTCCCCTACCACTAAAAATATGTACAGTAGATCTGGCATGTGCCTCCTGTTCGGCGACCCCGCTCCCATCTCTGTGTGGAGTGAGAGACAAGTGCCCAAAAATAATAACAATTGTAAACCGCTTTGTGACTCTGGTCTGTGAAAGGCGGTATATAAATAAAGATTACTTACTATGACGGTTGAAGTTTTGGATATTTGTAAATAAACGTTAAAGAGAAATGATAAAATCCTGGTGGACACAGATCAGAGTGGAGCGCCTCCTGCTTTAAAGCTGACGGTGAAGTCTTTCACTTTGAAAGCGCTCGCTCTTGTTTTCTTTATGTCGCAGAATAAAGTGATGAAAATGCAGCCTGCAGCGAGGAGTGGAGTGAGCTGGAAACCAGAGAAAAGGAGGAAGCAGATGGTTCTCTTTTCAGCCTCAAGACTCAAAGCTCACAGAGAGGAGGCGAAGCATCAGAGGAACAGGTTCATGTACGATCTCTCTTCTTTAACAATAGCTTTGAATCAGAGGTTACATTAACTGAAAATTCTCCGTCATTGACGGATTTTTTTTTTTCTGACGTAAAATTTGGAAGGCCGTCCGTCATTTTGAAGGATTGAAAATTAAGTTATAATTAAGTTGCGAGTCGTAGTTGACCGTCCTCTCCACTAGATGGCGCCAGCGCCGTTTATACACGAACAGCGCGCTGCAGGAGTACGGCTCGGATGCTGTCGAGCGCCTTGCTGACTTTTATGGCGCGCACCCAAACGCAGCGGTCTCACTCGTTGAAAAGGAAAGGATGGTACGGGACTTTCGCTCCGTGAAACGTGTGCTTGCAGGTTCAGGTAACCCGCCATTTAAGGACTCCCTAAGCTTCTCATCAACACATACGCGGAGATGTTCCCAGACTACAAAACTCTGGCAGAAGTAGCGCTTGTTATTCCTGTGTCAAGTGTCGCTGCTGAGCACGGCTTCAGTCTCCAAAATAAAATCAAAACTGCACTTCGAAGCCGTCTGACCAAGACAAAAACACAAACTCTAATGACAATCGCCTCGGTGTCGCCAGCCCTGCACACATTCAATTATGAACAGGCGAGTGCTCAGTTTAAGTCCACAAAGCCACGAAAGAAGGTTTAATAACTGCATTCAGGCAAACTCCTGTACGTGTTTGTTCCACATGTTAATGCAGGTTAAATGTTACGCAGAGTTGTCGATTGTTTTGCGATTTTTATGCAACTTTATATATTCACAAATTAAATGTATTGTACATTTGTAAACGAACAGCTAATAAAGCACGTTATAAAGCCTGTTTTTGTTTATACAATTGTTTAATTAATAGCCTATAGGGTATTTCAAACGTGAAAATAAAATGACGGATAAAAATAGCTCATGACGGATTTTTTTGGACCCTGTCCTTCATTATGACGGGCTGAAATGATCTCTAGCGAAACCACTGGTTTGAATAAAACATCAAACTGAGCAGCACTGATCCTCCAGGTACAAAGTGGCCTGTTTCCTCTGGTTCTACAACTTTATTCAATCAGAGCCGATATGGGCCTTGGTCTCTGCCCCTAAAGGACCAACGTCTCCGTTACGGATCCCAAGCAGTGGGGGCGGGTCCTGGCTCAAAAATGTCCACAATGACGTGCGCTAACATGCTGCAATACCACCCCAGGCCTGTGGGAGTCTTCTGACCGCTCGAAAACGTCTCTACAGGATGGTCCAAAAGTGGCTCTTGGCTACGTTCCACATGTATTTTTATTGGACCGGTCTAGTTTAGTCGCTCTGGACTTTAGAAGGCACTCGCGCGTGCATGGATCTAATATATCGTGCGCGTTGCGGCTGACATCCGCAAATGCGTTATTAAAATGCCCATAGACAGTGTTTAGTGAGTAATAGTAGTTTCAACAGCGGAGATAGGCATGACTACTCCATTAGTATTTACGTCAATGGTCCCAAGCTTTAGTGGTGACCACATAAACAAGTATTGAACTATAATCAGAAAAAAATATATAGAAAAATCTCAGAGAAAATTTTAATTAGAACTCGCTTCAATTCCAGATTGTGTTTCTTGTTAATAACATTCAGATGAGCATATTCACATATCACACCATCTCCATTTGTAATTCTTCCATATTTTTAAATTAATGCTACTACTATATTGCTTTAACAAACTTGAGAATGTACTTTTCCAAATTTACATTAGCATTAAACTGTCTTCATCTGACCACTGCACCGGTGTCGGTTCTGGACGTGGGTAATGCACGCTAGCATTAGCGCCGCTAGCATTAGCGCCGCTAGCATTAGCGCCGCTAGCATTAGCGCATTAGCGCCGCTAGCATTAGCGCCGCTAGCATTAGCGCCGCTAGCATTAGCGCATTAGCGCCGCTAGCATTAGCGCCGCTAGCATTAGCGCCGCTAGCATTAGCGCATTAGCGCCGCTAGCATTAGCGCCGCTAGCATTAGCGCCGCTAGCATTAGCGCCGCTAGCATTAGCGCCGCTAGCATTAGCGCATTAGCGCCGCTAGCATTAGCGCCGCTAGCATTAGCGCCGCTAGCATTAGCGCCGCTAGCATTAGCGCCGCTAGCATTAGCGCATTAGCGCCGCTAGCTTGTATCTTTAACACAGACAAAACTGCTCTCTGAAAACTGCCACAAATAATCTGAACCAGTTATAATTCGTTACCACAGGTATTCCCAAGTGTAGAACGTCCATGTGTGTTCTGGCCAAATACTAAACTGTAAAAAGTAAAGAAAAGTCTCAGAGGAAAACGAGGGTCACGGTCAATACGGCCCCCCCGCTACAACTGAGAATGACAACAGTTCCTACAATATTTCCTCTGCACTTGCCAATATTAAAACAAGACTGCTTTTACTAAATATGATCTAATTATTCTCCAAATTTCAAACATATAATCACACAAATAGAAATGTAAACAAACTATATATTTTAATTGCTGTAAAAATGCAATAAAAATAATTACACATAATGGAAATGTTATTGCTGCATTTCTCTGATCTGTGTTGGAGAATCAACAGCTTTGTAAAGTCCTCAGAGATAATACTGTACTGATTTATTGAAATACAAAACATATTTTATTGAAGCTGTTTTAACTGGACACAAATACTCAGACAAAGCCTGTAATGTTTGTGTACATTTCTCTGGTTTAATAATGACTTAACACTATTCTACTGGGAGCTGATTCTGTATCTATTTCACATGTTTATCCAACAGTTCAGTTCATATTCTCGGGTCCAGACGCCAAAATATCAAATAATGCATAATGTAAACTGCAAAAAGTCATGAATAATACATCAAAAAATTGTCACAAGAGACTTAAAACTAGATTTTCCAATGGGACAAAACCAAAAAAGATTTCAGTATCAGAAAGATACAGAAATTTCTCCCATGGAATGAGGAAATAAAGTAACTGTTCTTGAAATCAGACTAAATGTATTTGTCCCAGAATGTACAAAAGTTTGCATACTACTAGTTTGTTTACATGTTGTTCCGGGAGTGACCTGTAGAGGGCGCCCCTACCTTTTGTCTGCACACAGAATGAGTCAGATTAAGATAAAAACCACTGATTACAGCAGTTAGACCAGACCAGAGAGAGAGAAACCAGAGAGACCAGAGAGAGACCAGAGAGAGACCGGAGAGAGACCAGAGAGAGACCAGAGAGAGACCAGAGAGAGACCAGAGAGAGACCAGAGAGAGACCAGAGAGAGACCGGAGAGAGACCAGAGAGAGACCAGAGAGAGAGACCAGAAAGAGAGACCAGAGAAAGACCAGAAAGAGAGACCAGAGAGAGACCAGAGAGAGACCAGAAAGAGACCAGAAAGAGAGACCAGAGAGAGACCGGAGAGAGACCGGAGAGAGACCAGAGAGACCAAAGAGAGACCAGAGAGAGACCAGAGAGAGGCCAGAGAGAGACCAGAGAGAGACCGGAGAGAGACCGGAGAGAGACCAGAGAGACCAAAGAGAGACCAGAGAGAGACCAGAGAGAGGCCAGAGAGAGACCAGAGAGAGACCAGAGAGAGACCAGAGAGAGACCAGAGAGAGACCAGAGAGAGACCAGAGAGAGACCAGAAAGAGAGACCAGAGAGAGACCAGAGAGAGACCAGAAAGAGACCAGAAAGAGAGACCAGAGAGAGACCGGAGAGAGACCAGAGAGACCAGAAAGAGAGACCAGAGAGAGACCGGAGAGAGACCGGAGAGAGACCAGAGAGACCAAAGAGAGACCAGAGAGAGACCAGAGAGAGGCCAGAGAGAGACCAGAGAGAGACCGGAGAGAGACCGGAGAGAGACCAGAGAGACCAAAGAGAGACCAGAGAGAGACCAGAGAGAGGCCAGAGAGAGACCAGAGAGAGACCAGAGAGAGACCAGAGAGAGACCAGAGAGAGACCAGAGAGAGACCAGAGAGAGACCAGAAAGAGAGACCAGAGAGAGACCAGAGAGAGACCAGAGAGAGACCAG